TATATATATATATATGCTGTAAAAATTTAACTGGAGTAGCATCTCATGACATTTTTGAAGGTTATGAAAGGGTTGCTTATGGTAGTTCTGTGAAATGGGAATCTCACACGATGATCTCACTCTCTGGTCATTGAAGCAAAATTCCCTGTGCTACAAAAAGCGCATCAGCTGGCCCTTATGTAAGGCTGATTACGTCACAGTTATGCCCCCGTTTATGGAAAGTTGCTCATTGTTTTCTAGGAGAGTGCGGCTGCAGCAATCCATGCATACTGAGACATGTGTACAGTGCAGCACAATGCATACTAAATCTATTATCCGCATTTAAGTGTGGGAAAACTCACAAAATTGTAACATGCATCTGTCATATAATAAACAAGCATATTTACATGAATTATCATTGACAGAAGTGTGATTTTTATTCCCGTCTTTGTGTTTTCTGCAGAGATGAACAGGCACCACTACTCTCTATATGTACACAACTGTCGTCTTGTGCTGCTGCTGCGTCAGGAGCCTACCGAATCGGAGAACTACAAACCAGCTGAATTTCACTGGAAACTCGATCAAGTGAGTCAACTTGAGCCCCTTCAGAAGCACTCAATTTTGAAAGAAGCCCTTGTGTTATGTTTAGCTCGCTAGTGATGAATAGACATAAACATGAATAGGCATAAACATACTTAACATTCTCTCTCCAAATGGCCCATATTACACTTTTTACCTTTCTTACCCAGTAAAAATGCACGAAAATATATGCCTGCTAAGTTATATTTTAGGAAGGGGGTTCCTTGCTAGAGCATCATCATAACTGAGGGCCCTTAGCATTAAAAACATTAAAATACCTGCTTTAAGCAAACCTAACTGTACATTTAGGTAGGTACATATATTGTCCTCGAAATCTAAATCACCATTTAAGTTTTTCTTAATGCTTCAGCTGATGCAGTCTGTAGTTAAACAAAGGCCCTGATCAAGTATCTCTCCTCCCAGGTGTGTGATAAAGAATGGCATCACTACGTGTTGAACATTGAGTTCCCTGCAGTGACTTTGTTTGTGGATGGTGCCACCTTCGAGCCCTTCCTGGTCACGGAGGATTACCCTCTGCATGCCTCCAAGATCGAAACCCAGCTCACCATCGGCGGCTGCTGGCAAGGTACTCTCGCTAATGATCTATTGATTCTCCTCACACAATGATGCAACCTCAGGTTTAGACTTGAAACCTCTTTGTTGCCAGCTGCAGTTGAAATTTAATCATGCTCTATATTAGTAAGTAGTTTGTCTTTGCAATTTGTAGAGATGCCTATTTCATAACCCCAGTCATAGATGTAAGACGAAATCTATTGACACATGTCAGATAATCTTAAAGACCTCATTTAATCTAAAAACGATTTGTGGCTTTTATTGCATGTCATTTTTTATACTAGTGTACTTCAAAAGTTTAATAAAAAATAAATACTATTATTATTTTTATTTTTAGGGTACAAGCACAAAGAACCGAAACCCTATTTTTTAGGGATTTTTACTATTATTGTTGTTATTATTATTATTATAACCAGTGGGGTAACACATTACAAGTAATGCAAGTTAAGTAATCAGATTACTTTTTTCCCAAGTAACTAGTAAAGTAATGCATTAATTTTTAATTTACGAAAAATATATTTTCAAATAAGTAACACAATTTATTTTGTTTTCCCATTTATTCACTAACACCTCTCCTGTCCCAATGTTGAGAGGAATAGGGAGTGAGGTGCAGAGGCACTTCCTTCAGCCTGAGGCTTATTCATTTCACTTTTGGTGTGAAAGGGCTTTTACAGTTGCCCAAAATATACTTTTAAACTTTCCCCAACAAAACTAATAATAAGAATAGTTAGCTAGCTGTAATTCAATATTTTTTAAATAAATGACATTTAATCAGTTACAAAATATTTATATAGTGTTTTACATATTTATATAGTGTTCAACAAAATGCTTTCTAGAATTAGAAGTATTTCTTGGGGGTCTTTAATGCATGACAACATGTATCAAGTGACTTTCTTTCCTTGACTGTATTAAGCCCTGGTCTTTCCCTGCTCTTCTGTCTTACCTCCACAGACCTCTCAGGACATGCCAATGATACTGAGACTCTCTCAGAGCCTTTGACAGGTTGCCCTTGTTTTTTCTGATCACACCAATAAGTCAAAACGCACGTCTATTAACGCCCTGCACATGTGTGGTTCTTCTGCAGCGTGTCATTCGGCTGCTGGAGGACCGTTCATGCACAGCTTCTGTCTGCAACGGCATTACATTTGTAGCATGATGCAATTGAGTCGAGAGACGCCATGTCATAAACCCTGCCTGCCTTGTTCTTCATTCTGTTTTCTTAATTCATCAGTCCAGCTCCATCTAATTTCAGTTTGCTTCCAGATCTGGAGAAGTACACAGCAGACAGTATATTACAAGCAAAACAAGTCCAACTGACCTTAGGGATCTGCATGTTTTTATGATAAATTAGAGGGTTTGGCTGCATTCCTTGCTGCGGTTTGCAGGATTATTTATGCCAGTGGTATCAGCGCAGCAGACAGTGTCTCATTTCTCACTCTGTGACCTTGCTGTCTCTAAGAGCTGCTTTACAGCATCACTCAGTGTCACATTACTGTTGAGGTCATTCTGACCGCTCCCACATCTCTCTGTCCTTCAGACACAGTCATACTATAGAGGATATTGCAGTACATAGTGTTACGCTTTCATTTTCAGCTTAAAGGGACTGTTCACCCAAAAATGAAAATGATTGTTTCAAATGTATATAACATTTTGACCCAGTGCTTTTCCATACAACAACTTCTGTCAAACAAAATAATCCATATGACTCATTTGTCCAAGTTGTTCCTTTTTTTTTTTTTTGGTTATTGCTTTGGGTAGTAACTAAGCTTGTCATTTCAGCATTTTGAATTTTGGAAGTGAGCTAACTGTGAACTTTGTTGAAGGGAAAGATTACATCATAATATTAAAATTATATTAAAAAATGATTATGAATATTAAAATATGATTTTTTCTTAATTAATCTGTTATATAATAAATTATATATTAAAAAAAAATTAATATGCTCTGCTGTTCAAAACATTGGGGCCAGTAAGATTTTTTTTATATATTAAATTTAAAATGTTTATTCAGCACATGAATGTCACACAAGACACATGAAAGTGATCAAAATATTTAATTATATTCCAACTCACTGGTTTTCTTTTAAACGTTCTATTCGTCAAAAAATCCACAACTATAGTAATTTATGAAGGATCATGTGACAAAATTCAGTTTTGCCATAACAGGAATAAAGTACATTTTAAAATGTATAAAAATAGAAAACAGATATTTTAAATTCTAGTATTATTTGTAGTATTTTTGATCAAATAAATGTAAATAAATCTTTCAAAAACATAAAAAAATCTTGCTGAATCTTGCTGAAAGGTTGTGTAAATAATTTTTCAGACGGAATTCATGATGCATTTCGGTGAGTTTTTATGTCTTTTTGGAGCTTGACAGATGTGGTCACCGTTAGAAGCAGGCAGCGTAAAGTTCTTAAAAAATCTCTAGTTGTATGTTTTATGAAATAATACGCGCATACAACATTTGGAACAACAAAAATAATGACCAGATTTTCCTTTTTGAGTCACCTATTCCGTGAATGTTGATAACAAGACAGTTCAAAAACACATAGCATTAACCATTTAGAAATATGCAAATATGTGTAGATTTTATTCAATCATATTGCCTCATTTTTTTATGTGCCACTTTGTGTTCCTTCCCATTTATTTGCCTTTTTTCTCCCACCAAAAGTTGCATGAGGCCACAGGCCTGAATCAGGTCATCCATCATCCTGTGTGACGCACCGGGCTGCACCAGCACCGAACACTTAACATGCATGAGCATCAGTCACGTGGCCTGTGCACACTGTGCATGCTTGAGCTTGGTATCTAACAGGTTCTGTCCCCCTCCGGGTTTGTGTAGGTGGCAGCGCCCGCATGACTCAGTACTTCCGGGGCAACCTAGCTGGACTCATGATCCGCTCCGGCAAACTGGAGAACAAGAAAGTTATCGACTGCCTCTACACCTGCAAGGAAGGTCTTGATGTGCAGCTTCCAGAGGAAGTAGCCTCTGCTGTGAAGGTGAGTGACTGCTTGGAGTGTTTTGGGCTATGTAGGTGAAGTTTTGAAAACTGATGATCGCTCTACCTTGCGTAAGTGTCAAAGCATATGCGAGCTTTGTGAAAATACTCATGGGTGTCCTACAGTGTTATTTTAGTACTATTTATATACTATTATAGTGTTTATAAATATTTAGAATTAGCTTTTATTTTAATATTTTCAGTTTTCTTTTAAATGTAGTAATTTTGATATGTGCTTTTGTTTTTATTATTAATATTGCCATGTAGCTTTAATTTATTTTTATTTCAGTTATACTTTTAGCAATTTTAATAGTTTAAGTACTTGAACATTTTTTTTAAAGGTTTTCATCTAATATTTATTTTATTTTATTTATTTCAGCCTCATTTTAATTCCCAAAAATTATTTTTAATATTCACAATTTTTGTCAGAAGGATAGTTCACCCAAAAATGAAACTTTTGTCATTTTTCTCACCCTCGTGTCGTTCTAAACCCATAAGACTTTGGTTACTATTTAAAACACAAATTAAAGTATTTTTTAAACAAACAATAAAGGTTTTTGCCCCTCCATTGAAAATCCAGGTAACCAAAATTTAGAAGCTCCAGAAAGTTCATAAAGGCATAGTAAAATGAATCAATATGAATTGTGCGGTTTAACACAAGTCTTTTGAAGAGATGTGATCGCTTTATGTTCTAAACGGAATCAATTTAACATCTAAACAATGATAGATACACATACATAGAGCAGATTTCATTAAACATATCTTAATTTGTGTTTCCAAGGTTAACCAAATGGATGTATGTTTCTCTGTCTCTCTCTAGGTGGAGTTCAACCCCAACCAGTCTTCTCTGAGCCTGGAGGGAGATGACATTGAGAGCTTTGAGAAAGTCATGCAGCACATCTCCTACCTGAACTCCCGGCAGTTCCCCACCCCAGGAATCCGCCATCTGCGCGTCTCCACCACTGTCAAGTTAGTTTCCATCATTTCAGTTCAGCTGCTTCACATTAGCTAGCCCCGCCCACTTTGAAACATTATTGCTCCAGAATAACACAGTATATGGAAAAGCTAATAATGAAACGGAATGATTTTTTTCATACTTTTAGCGCACTCATAATGATGAATATATTATAATTTACCTCCTTTGTAATTCTTCAGATGCTTCAATGAGGAGACGTGCATCTCCGTGCCTGACACTGAAGGCTACGTCATGGTTCTCCAGCCAGAGGAGCCAAAGATCAGCCTCAGTGGAATTGACCATTTTGCCCGTGGAGCAGCTGAATTTGAGAGTACGGAGGGCATTACGCTCTCCGTGAGGTGGAGGTGGAGGTGGAAGCTGAGACCGAGGCCGAAGGCGAGGATGATCCCACAGGTACGCTGGGAATGTGAGATTCACATATTTTGCTGAGAACGGTGGAGAGAGGGGAAATGGATCAAGAAAGAGAAAGGAAGTTAGGTAGTAAGATAAGCAGCAGAAAACAGATTGACTAGGAGTAGTTTCCACATTGGCTACAACTTACAGGGACCAGTTACCTATGAAATGAAAATTCTGTCATAATTTATTCCAGATCTGTTTGACATTTGAGACCCTGAAGCACAAAAGCAGTCATAAGTAGCACGGGTAAATTTGTAGCAATAGCCAAAAATGGGTATACACTGCATGGGTCAAAATTATCGTTAATTTTTAGGATATTATTAATTAATCATTAGGATATGAAATAAAGATCATGTTCTATGAAGATATTTTGTAAATTTCCTACCGTAAATATATCAAAAATGGATGCTCATTAGTAATATGCATTGCTAAGAACTTCATTTGGACAAATTTAAAGGTGATTTTCTCAATATTTAGATTTTTTTGCACCCTCAGATTCCAGATTTTCAAATAGTTGTATCTCGGCCAAATATTGTCCTATCCTAACAAACCATACATCAATGGAAAGCTTATTTATTCAGCTTTCAGATAATGGATAAACCCTTATGACTGGTTTTGTGGTCCAGGGTCACATTTGTGTTCTACACAAGAGAGGATGTTATATGGATTTGGAAAAGCATATTAAATGGAAATGCAAATGATTCTTTGAGCAATATTTTGGATGTTTATATTCCAATAAGTGGTAGAAATATTGATGCTGTCTATATAATGGATTCTGGGATGAAAGAAAGTCTAAAAGGTTTTGTCTTGGCTAATGTTTTTTATTCTAAATTTTAGTGCATTGTAAGTATTTCTTACAGATTACTTTACTCCTCGCAATCGATATTTGCCATAAAATTGCATGGTGGACTGTTTCTGAACATTCAAGTCTTTCCAAGATTAAATTGAATCAAATGGAGAGGTTCTGCTCTAACTTACTGACGAATGGTTTTTGTTTTTTGGCAGTGCAAGAGACGGTGGTATCTGAGGAGATCATGCATAACTTGGACACGTGTGAGGTGATTGTGGTGGGAGATGAACTGAATGGAGATCATGAGAGTTTGGAGGTGGATCTGGCCCAAATCCAGCAGAGAGCTCTGGAGATGAGCTCTTCTAACGTGGGCATGGTCATCACAGGTACTCATCCATCTACATCAACAAACTACTGCTATATATTTGCACACATCTGTTGGATTATATTTGTGTGATTTGTTAATGGTAGTTTATATCCAGCATCTTGCTGAATGGCTGATCTAATGGTATTACAAACATCAGTACTGTAAGCTTGTGTCTGTCCACAGGGGTTAACACCATGGCAAACTATGAACAGGTCCTGCATCTGATCCGCTACAGGAACTGGCACACAGAGGCATTGTTTGACAGGAAGTTTAAACTCGTCTGTTCTGAACTCAATGGCCGCTACATCAGCAATGAATTCAAAGTCGAGGTATGGCTGACCACACACTGTCCTCAATGTAAACAATAATCTATTAACTTCACTAAAATACCACGGTACCTACAGTTATATTTACTATAGTTAACGGTATATATACACACTTCCTTTCAAAAGTCTGGGGCCAGTAAGATTTTTTTGTAAGAAATTAATAGTTTTATTTGGCAAGAATGCATTAAATTATAATAATAATTATAATAAATTATAATAAATCAAAAGTGACAGTAAATACATTTATAATTTTACAAAATTATATTTGAAAATAAATATTAAATAAATATTAGATGAAAACCTTTAAAAAAAATGTTCACTATTTTGAAATAAATGCTGTCCTTTTGAACTTTCCATTCATCAAAGAATCCTGAAAAAAACAATTCTTAAAAAATATGAACTGTTTTCAACTGATAATAATAAGACATTTTTCTTGAGCACCAAATCAGCATATTAGAATGATGATCTGAAGGATCATGTGACACTGAAGACTGAAATAATGATGCTGAACATTCAGCTTTGCCATCACAAGAAAAAAAAATAACATTTTAAAATATGTTCAGATGGAAAACAGTTTTTACTGATGAGTATAAGAGACTTGTTTTAAACAAAAAAAAAATCTTATGGTTACCAAATTCCTCAACTGTAGTGTGTAGATTGAAATTAAATGATTTAAATAATTTTCTATTTTTTATTCTATTCATTATTTTTTTAAGCTTTTAGTTTTTATTTTATATATGGTCTTATGCACATTTTATTATTATTTTATTTATTATTATAAATTTTTTTTATTTATTATTATTATTAAATTTTATTTTATGTATATACTTATATAAATGCTTGTATAAAAATCTATTGTTATTTGTTTAAGGGTTCTGTTTATATAAAAATGTTATATACAAGTCTATATCAAAGTAAGCCAAAGGATATAAAGAGATAAATGGGATTGTATTGTATTACACAGATGCCAGTTGTGTGACCGTCTTTATTGTTTATGTTATCAGGTCAATGTGATCCATACAGCCAACCCCATGGACCATGCTAACAACGCTATGGTACAGCCTCAGTTCATCAACCAAGTTCAGCACGCTTCAGTGGACCTGTCTGGACACAACCTGGCCAACACACATCAGGCCTCAGGTATTTCTTCTTCATCCCTCCATTTCCTTCTCCTCCCCTCCTCTGATCCATCTGTTCAGCTTCTCTTGGAGATAAAGGCGTTTCATTGGCTGCTTCATCTCTCACAGTATCTTTCCTAGATTATTGCACTAATCTCTCATTAAAGATAATCCAGACTTTGTAATCAAATGAATAAACTGTTTAATGTTGAGCTCAAAACTGAATTCAGGTTCTTTCCATTAGTTTTTCTGCAGCTTAAAGTCAATTTAAAAAGTAGGGCAGTTATGGAGCGCTTTTTAATGGCGCTCTTTTAGGGATTATATACAAGTGCGGTCTACAACATCTGGACAGTCGGTGAGGGACACCTCAGACAATCTCTTTTAGGTTTTTTTTCACCCTAAATACCAAATGCTAATCTGTGTCCATCCACTCTTCACAGTTGTCCCCAGTGCTGCCACCATCGTTATCGTTGTGTGTGTGAGCTTCCTGGTGTTTATGATCATCCTGGGCGTCTTCCGTATCCGTGCTGCCCACCAGCACACCATGAGGGACCAGGAAAACGGCAAAGAGAACGAGATGGACTGGGATGACTCTGCCCTCACCATTACTGTCAACCCAATGGAGGTGTGTTCTTAAAACAGAGCTCGTTCGCTCAGTGCTCTTACAGCACTCATACATAGTTAATGCAGCAGAGGGCTAAACCAATTAAAAACTCAATGTATCTATTAACATCCCTCCTCCTCCTGTTCATTTGTCTGCTGATATGGATTTTCGATAAACTAAACAGCTATTTTTTGCATTATGTTTGCTGTAAGAAGTAATAAATTAGGTCATTTCAGGAATATTGCACTTATAGAGAGACCATTTGATGTGATTCATAAAGCACAGACTTCCATTAAAGAGGCTTGGAATAAATTATTGGTTCACTTTTGAAATCAATTTGATTTCCATCTTAAATTTACATTTTTTTTTTAATGTTTTTATTTTAGAATTTAAAAAATATTTTTATATATATATTTTAAAATCCAATAATTATATATTATCATATATTATCATATATTATCATATATTAT